TTTCGCAATATTTTTCACAATGTTTTTAAATCTTCTTTTCATTGAAAAGGGAGAAATGTATATATATTTATTACAACTTTTTATAAAAAATATCAAAATTTAAGATTCTTTGTTTTTAGTTTTTGATTTTAAATTTTATTAAAAAAATAATTATGCAGTTAATATTATTTAGTTTAGCATTTCAATTAAAGTTTTTTATTTTTTATACAATTTTTCCCAAAAAAAAAATGTCATTACTTCAATATTTTTATTATATTTTCTTTTTTATTTAACATTTATTTGTTCGATATAGAGCTTTTATTTTGAATTTTGTATATTCATTTATAGTTATAAAAAAAAAATTATGAAGAAAATTTTTACCATTTTTTTTTTTAATTGAAAAAATGATTAATTTCACTATTTTAAATACTCGATTATGAAAAACTTCATGTTACTAAGCATTTTCGAACACAGGAAATATTTTTTTTAATATTTAATTTCTTTTTTTTCCTTTTTTAATATCGGAAAATAAAATTTCTTTTTTTTTTTTTTTTTTTTTTTGGTTAGAGAAAAACCACTTTGTTGCTAAATTTATTTATTTTAAATTTATTATTTTTTTTTCTATGTCTCCAGCTCCGTGATGATATCACTTTTATAATTATTTATTATTTTACACTATTATTGTTTTCTCAAAGGCTCATCAAGCATACAAAATATTTGTTTAGCATAATTTTTTTTTCTCACCGCAACATTTTTTCCTACAAACATTCTTATTATGTACATGATTGCTCACTTTATGCGCATATTTTTAGCATTCAATTGATTACATAGAGAATTTTTGCTTTTTATGACTGGTCGAAGGCTTCTTGTATACATACATACATATGTATATAATCATGTGTAAAGGGATATTAATTTTTTAAGAGCTTTCTGTACATATGCTTATATATATTATATGTTATTTATGTACATAAAAATATATATTTTTTCGCATGCAAAAACATTTTTAAAACTTTTATATAATTTAAATTTTTTTTACTAAATTTTACATTTGCAAATATACGTATTTCGGTAATTTAATCATGTCAAATTTTTAATTAATTCTACCAAAAGGTAAAAAATGTTTTGAAAACCTACTCGTAAACTGGTTTTTGAATTTTTCTTAATAAACATATTGTATTTCTAAAGTTTAAAAAAAAATTCCAAAATTTTGTTTAAGTTAAATTTTTTTGCTAAATAATATTTGTATTACATTCTTGTCAAGTAAAACTAATTTTTTTCTAATTTGATTCATTAAAATTTTTGTTTTTTATTTCTTTTATTTTTTTTCTATTTTACTTTTATTTTTTTCTCATACAATTTCTGTGCAAATCAAATCGAGTTAAATGTGAATTTTTTGTTTACTTTGCGCCAACGCCATTCTAATGCGATTTTCGTTTATTCAATTTTAAACCTCTTTGAGCAAATCCCTATCATTTGACATTGCTTTTAGTCATATTCTTATGAAATTTATTTTCTCAGGCGCTCGATTTTCTATTTCATTATGCGTGCAAGTAAGTTTTTTTTACATTTTTTTTTAGCTAATTCTATGATTTTTTTTAATTAATTAATTTTTATTTTAAAATATTTTTTTTTGTTTAATTTTTTTTTTTAATTTTTTATTACTTTTTAGTTTTTTTTTTTTTTTTTTGCTTATTACTTTATTTCTATTTTTTTCTTTATCCCCACTTATTGTTTGTCATGCTCATTTAACGATTCGTTTGCCTACTATTTATTTATTAGCCTCACACATTTCATTAGCAGTTGTTTGGTGTGTACATATGTATGCATGTGCTCGTATGTGAATAAAGCATTTTTTTTCGTTTTTAAATATTTTTTTTCTACTTATTTTTTATCAGCCATCAATTCAATCGTTCAATTGCGTGAAGGTCGCTAATTGCAATTGGAAAAATAAAAAGAAGACTTTTTTTCATGACTAAATGCCCATTTGAGCTATGAAATAATGCATGAAGGTCTTCATGGAAATAAAAAAAAAAAACATTTACTCGTATAAATTTTTGTCTTTTAAATCGTATAGAAAGGCTTAAAATTAAAAACACTCGTAATTTCAACATATTAAAAAAAAAGTATTTTTTCCAGCAGGTAAATCAAAAAGTCGTAAAACTTAATTTTGTCAAAAATATTTATTTTCCAATGGAATTTATTAAAACCCTATACCTTTTAGTTTCAGAGCTCCTAATACAATTGTGTTTCAAATCTTTATTATTTTTTTTTTTTTTGATGTTTTCACAAATGTTTTGTTACCTGATAATTTTAAATATTCTCAACTTCTTCTTTTTCAACATTTCTAAAAAAAATTTAAATAATTTCTGTTTTTGTCTTAATATTTCAGATTAATTTTAAAAAAATTTGAAATCTCTCTTTCCATTATTTATAATTTTTTTTTTTTTGAATTATTGTAACTTTCTGTTAATTTTTTTCTCAATTTTTTTTATTACTTTTTTGTTTATTAATTTTTTTTTATTTAATTTTAATAATTTTTGTTTTTTTATTAACTTGTTTTTATATTTTATTTTAATTTTATAATTTAATTTTATATTTTAATTTATATTTTATTTATTATTTATTTTTTATTTTCATTTTTTATTAATTTTTTATTCTTTATTTTTCTTTTTTTCTTTTATTTCTTTACATGCCATATTCTGTCTTTCTTAAATATATTTCTTGGCAGGAACTGATTGTTTTTAGCTTTATTGTTCTCTCGCCTTATTGTTTTTACCACAAAATCCATCGTTTGTGTCATTTATTTGAGCACACACCATCACCTCACCATATACAAATATTTTATCTAGCCTTCATCACCACCACCTTTCAATATTCGTTGAGAAGTTCATATTTGGTCATGGAATTCTTGGCTGCCGCTCAGCACTTTGTTCACGCATTTCATCGAAAAAAAAGAAACGTGAAAAAGTGATTATAATAAACTTGTCTGACTAATCACCCGGATATATTTGGCCAAGCGGCCAACACAATGTCAAATAATCCATCATTTTTTGTTCATTTTTTTGCGCTTTCTGTCATAACATAATGATTTTGCCTAAATAATAATAAATTATTTACAAATAATTAAAAAGAATAGTGCAATCGCAGGAAAAGTATTAAAAACTATTGAATGAAAGGCCTACACAGAAGAAGGTAAAAAAAAAGTTAAACACCTTGTTTTGTAAGCTGTTGATAGATGTGATTATAGAGATAAAAATTGATGAAAAATAGCAAAAACAATTTTTTTTTGAAAAGCGTGAAATACAATAGAATTACAATAAAAAGCGCAGAAACTTGAAGTAATTACAATTATAAATGAATTAAAGGCCATACATATATATCATCGAAAATTTCGTTTTAGTAACGTAAGCAAATTTTTTTCTTCCACCAAATCATTACTAATCATTTTGTTGCAAGTTTCTCGCTCAAATCTATTTTCGTTATTTATATTTTTCTTAGAAACTCACATTTTGTCTAAGAAGAATTCTCGAAGTAATATTTCCACCTTGAATTCTTTGAAATATGATTTTTATCTGCAACTCCTGCCTCTTAACGGTGTTTATTTAATTTTGAAATCATTAATCAAAATCATTAAATTTTGTACGCTGTAATTTTTGGCTTGTGCTGCCTCTACAAGGCACTTCCGCTCATTTATCATTATTTTTTGATAATTTTACATTTAAAATTATTTCTAATCTTTTACAGCTCTTCTTCGGCTTCTTGCTGAAAAATTTCAGTATATTTTGTTCTTACCAAATATGTTTTATGTGGAATCGACGCTTGTTAAAAAAAAATCATTTAATACTTTATTCCAATTCTGATTCTTGTCCCAACTTGATACTTTATGGATCTCTTTCTCGTTGAATACTATCAAGATACTGAGAATATCTTCATCTTCATCTAATCTAATCTAATCTCACAACTCCGAAAACTCTGCTGCCATGTGGATGTGGAATGTAGATCTTCTCGAGGTCATTCTCAAACTTAGTGTTGCCCTTTTCATAATTTTGGCCGATTTCCGTGCCGCACTAGCTCGTGTGCTCAATTTTCTTGTCCTTTCCTAGAATTCTCGACATGAAAACTTATGTTTTCGTTATAAATTATTAGCTACAAGCATCTGCTAGTACTCATATTTCTTCTTCCTACAAAAAAAAAAAGAAAAAAATATCGACAAAAATATGCAACACAAAATCATTAACGCCTACATGTGGCATACGTAGCAACCGAGCCGTCATGCCCAGCCTACTTAAGGCGCCTCAGTGCAAACACTTCACAGCGTGGCAGATTAGCAGCTAGATGAAAAACATGCATGAACTTACCTGCCTTCCCACTCACACACGCTGCCGCCCTTTTCCTGCTACCAGCTGTTCTTCAAACTTTTCCTCTTCTAGTCTCTTGTTGCGCACACATCACTCACCTTCGACATCACTACTCTTTCCCTCTGCTTCGCCCTCTGTCTACCTATTTGTCGTTCACGCTACTCGTCTCCACTTCTTGGCAACGCTTATGAGAACAGACAAAAAGGGCAAAGAACAAATCATTGCTGGCGCTTTTTTATCTTACACTTAAATACTTAAGTAGCTCTTCATATTTTATAGACGCTCTTTTTTCATTATCTTTTCTTCATATCATTCATATTATTATTATTACTGTTTGTAATAAATTTTAGCTGTCCGCTGAGAAACGTGCGCCTCCTCTGGTAGCCGCATACAGGGGAGTACACGTATGTGTAGTCTTTTAATCCACGGCGTCTGCATCTGTGAACTTGTCTGACTTTAATCTTCATTTTGTGGTACTTTAGCGTCTTGAATTTCGCGCCAAATGAAGATTTCATAACGAGATTTTGATTGCACCTAAATTTTTATGTAATGTTGTCCGCATTTCATTTTGAAAAGTTTTGTTTGTTTTGTGTACATATAAATTTATTATGTTAAATGTTTTAAATATTAACTTATCTCTTTTCTCTAATTTGCTTGCAGAGTTGTCCAGAAGAACATTAAGGTAAGCTAAAAAAAATATTGTGTGGGATTTTAGGCGACTATGGTATCGAGAACTAGAACTTCTTAGAGTGAAATTAAATTTCTTCCCAAGAATGAAAATTTATTCCATACGAAAATTGGCAACGTTGTATTTCTTAGACAGTTTAGTTTTCTTTGTTTGCTTCCAACAAAGTTTTTTCATTGGGAAATTTGGCAACGTTGCCATTTTCAAATTTATTTCAAGTTTTACTTATCGTTGGAAGGCTGCCACAAGTCAGTTAAAAAGAAATCGAAATTGCAATCTAAATCAAAAGTGAAATGAAATTTCTCTCCAAAGGCGCTATCTTTTCGACAAGGAATTGGGCGACGTTGCCATTTTTATTTAATTTTTTGATTTGGTTTGATTTTTAACAATCCCCTGTGTATGCTGCGAGAACATTTTCCAATAAAAGGAGTATCATTTTCACGTTTTCTTAAAAGTGAAGTAAAATTTCCTTTTTTTCCTTATAATTTTCAATAGAAAATTTGGCCTTTTCACCAGTGTACCTTGATTTTTACTCATCCGCTGAAGGTGCGCCAAGAAAGAATTTCCGTTAAGAAGAAAATAGATTTCAGCTAAGATCAAAATTTCTTTCCAAGAAACGATATTTTTTCGAAAAGAAATTCGGCAACGTTGCATTTTAAATTAACTTCCATTGAAAATCTGTCGCCTCCTCAGGAATTGCTTTAAGCCAGAAGCAATAAATCCCTGGTAGAGATTTTCAGTGATGCGACTTTTTTCAAGGGCGTCACCTTCTAGGGTATAACTTACTCTTTCCATTCTTTCTCGGCGGGTAGGTATAAACGCACTGGGTGTCTTCTTCAACACTTTTTTCAGAGTCTCTGTTACATGCACTCTGCAACAATTTAAAATGGGGTTGATGAGAATTTGCCCACAACGCCACGTTTTTCGCCGGGCATAGTGAGAAAATCATCCCAGTACTTGCGTTACGTTTGCCGAAGAGTCTCAACCGTTTGAACACTCGGTTTTTAGATTAGTGGTAAAGTTTTCTGAGAGCATAACTAAGTAAGACTCTAGTTCTAACAAAACTTTACAGACAATGACATGCTCCTTTCTGTAGATTAGCCATTGATGACTCTCTTAGCATTCCTAACAAGCCTCCAGCTAGTCGAGCCTGAGTTTATTTGGAACCTGATCAATGGGCTGTCATTTGGAACAGTTGTTTTTGTAAAAGTTATGAGCTAGTATTGTGCGGGAAGAGTTTTCTGACTACAACTTCTATCGCAGTTGGTCCTTTTTTTGACCCTCTGAGGTTTCAGATTTGCCTCCTGCGGTTGAAGTTACAAACAACTGAAGGAGCCCAGTCGAAAGTGTGATAAAAGGAGGGGGCATTGGAGTCTATAGTAAGATGTCCGTGCAGGAGGCTCCATCCAGTTACAGAATACAGTCGAAGGGCTTTTACTACAATATTTCGGTGAGTCGTGAATTGGTGCTGTGACAGGCTGCTGATAGCTCGAACCATTTCCCGTTGTGTGCGCGGAAGGTACTAAGGAGCTCTGCTCCATTTCAGAACAGCCCGCAATCCTTTTACCTCAAAAACAACTACAAGTGGGGGCCAGTTCATGCAACGTAATCTCACTTTAATACTTGTATGCTACAATTAAAGTTTAAACAACGACAACAACACCAACAAGGGCAATTAAAAATGCCTAATTATCACCCTTCAACGCCACAAAATCGCAAAATACAACTATTTTATTACACTAACCACTTTACAAATTTCATTGCTACGAGAGGTTGTAAAAGGCGAGCTGGGCAGGTGACATGGCGGGAGGCACACAGGCCAAGTAAACAAAATGCACCGCGCGCACACACACAATTGAATCTCCAAAATAAATAGTCAACAGGGAGACCGAGTGGAGCTCGACGTAGCTGAGTGCTCGCGAGTTGGCCACAGTTGAAAGCGTCAAACAGCACATTTACATTAGGGCAACCACAATAAAGTTATGTAGTTTTCGGCTAACGCCGAGTCCACCCCCACTCGGCTCTGCCCCGCCCGCCAAAATACGCCACCACCACACTCAAGTGCTGCCGCCAAACTAGCACTCCCCATAGTGCGCCGCATTTAAGCTCCTACACAAATTCCACCAAAATTACAGATAAACAAAATAAATCCCCAAGCAGAGCGGACGCGAAGTGAGTTCGCCGAGCTTGTGCCACCAAGTGACTCACCAAAGTTGAATTAACGCCATGGCAAAGCGTTTGGCGAACGCTTGGCTTGTGATAAAAATGCAGCACTGCGAGCAAATGTCGGATGTGGCGTGGGCAAGTGGCAGTGATATAGTAAAATAACTGTAAATTTCAAATTAAGCCAAATCGCGCGTGGGTAACAAGCGCTAACAACAACAAGCGCGCACGTAAACTCAGTGGAGCTCGCCTCCACCTCGCACTGTGCGGGTGCTGCATAAGCACAACGTTGCATTTAGTTTTTGGAAAAGTTTAACGGAATGTTTCTGTCAGTCCCCTCCGAATCGTTGCATAAAAAAAGCCAACAATAACATTTTGGCACACTTACAGTTAGTTTTAGGGAGGTATGCCCCATGCGCTGTTGATTATTTAACCGGCGACCACCAAACAACCAACGTTGCTGCAACAACAACAATAACAAGTAGTCGTGCTTCTCCTGCTGTGCGAATAAAATTGTTCCGGCACAAATGGAATTTGTGTGTAGGGGCGGTATTTGTACGGAGTTTAATTTGGTTTTGAACTTTAACTTTTGTTTGTGGGGCACAGACGGTGGGAGGAAACACTATTGAGCACTCAAACGAGCGCAATTATTAGCTGGGACGTAGTCCTTTGGGAGGAAATTTCCACAGAACTGTGGGCTCCGATTGAGACTTTAGAAGTGTGGGTTTCGGCTTTCATTTATAAGTCCGGACCTCAAAACAGTAGTTAGTTGAGAATGTCCACCACTAATAACCTGGTCCAGCGTTTAGTTGAGTGCAGATATCGTCATATCTATTTAGCTCGTTAGGAGATCGATGGTTTCTATTACCGTTCCTTCTCAGCGTTTTAAGCTTGTTGAGTACTCAATCAGATAAAATAAAAACTCAATAAAAATCCAGTCGCTTTTTCAGCCACCTGTCCATTTATAGATGACCTTTTTTATAGATGACCTTTCATGGGAAGAGCTCACAATTCAAATCGTATTAAGCTTCCTTGCAGTCCGAACAGAGCTGTAGACATGTGAAAGGTTCAGTCCATGTGATAACTAGAGTTCGAGGTTGTCTCATTTAAACCGAATAAGTGTATATACATTTTACTTGACTCAAGACAGGCTATTAACTTCACATCTTGAAATCGACATCCCCACTTCAATCGGCAGACCTCTCAGCACTGTTAGATATTTTTTCTCCTCGCCCAACACAGCACTGCCACGATTTTGCTTAAGAAGCTTCTTCAGCCTCTTCTCTTTGTGATTTCTGTGGTGTGGTTTACCTACCGCAAGCAAAGTTCTAATTCGCACGTTGTAATCCGAGAATGTGCAAAGTGGAACTAACAAAAATGCCCGATCAAGGTGATGAAGTTTATAAAATTCTTACCAGCAGCAACCACTCCGCGTGTTATATTAAATTTCAAAAATCACAACAATAGCAATTGAGAGCATTTGACAATTGAAATTGGCAGTGAATGAGTGCGAGTGAGATAGCAAGAAGATTTGGATTAAATGTAGTGCACAGAAAATTCATGTGAGCCAAACTAAGTTCCATTACAAGTCAACGAAGTGCAAACAAATTGGCCTTGTCTTAGACTGAAGACCATTCGACTTTGGACTCTAGTAAGTTAACGCTTGAGCAGTTCTTAAACGTAATTGAGAGCAAAAATGATTTAATTTATATTAAATTATTGACTTTTTTGTTTTGTAATTTTTTTAAATTTAATACTTGAAATAATTAATTTTTTATTTTATTTTATTTCAAATTTTTAATTTTATTTTAATTAATTAATTTTTATTATTACTATATTTAAAGCAAATTTACTTTATTTTTTCTTTTTATTCATTTATTTTGTTACGTCTTTATTTGTTTATTTTATACTAGGCCAATTATTTAATTTATTTTACTTAATTTTATTTCATTTTATTTTATTTTAATTTATTTTAATTTATTGTTTTAATTTATTTTAAAATTTTATAACTTAATTTATTTAATTTTAAAAATTGATTATATTTTATTTATTTTAATTAAATTTAATTTGTTTTTCATTTTATAATATTATTATTTAGTTTTTTATTTTATTTATCTTGGCTTACTTTAATTTTATGCTTTCTTATTTTATTTTATTTTTTATTTTTGCTTTATTTAAAATTATTATTTAATTTTTTTTTTCAATTTATTTTATTTGATTTGATTTGCCTTAATTTCAATGAATTCTAGCTAATATTTTTATATATTTTTTTTAATTTTTTTATTTAATTTAATTTATTTATTTTTAATTTAAAATTTTTTTTTTTTTAATTTTTTAGTGCAAAGTCTTATGTTTCAAGTGAATATTAATTTCCATAAAAGGGCTTTGATACAGCTCGTCTTATAGTCATGCTTATTTTACTCTTTTTTTAATTTTTTTTTTTTTTTTTTTTTTTTTTGATTTTTTAATAAATCCCTCTCTGTACTACCTTCAAATTAAGTTATTACCAGAAAGCTTGTTTACCTGTTTATTTTTAAGTTAATAAATAAAATTAATTTACAACCCTTGCACCGTCTTCTCAACCTTGCCTTAAAGCAACAAAGCAGCAATTTTAATTAGAAAAAAAATCTCTACTTATTATTTGTTGAATTTTATTGTAAGCTTCTTTACAGCTCGTTTATTTTTGACATTGAACTATGGATTAGTGCTGCCAGTTAGCAGCTAATACAATGACAACAATAACAAAAGGCAACTAACAAACAATAATAATAATTAAAAATCAGCATTCAACTCGTGCTCAGACGCAGCGACAGCGCATCCTCAGCTGATCGCGT